CTCTTCATTGTCTCCCAAATTATGGAAATTTCAGTGATTTTCAAGATCTTTTATAAGGATTACTGAAGTATAAGTTTGAAAACTGTCTAAGTAGTTTAATGAATAATGAGTATCACTGAAATAATGTGACAAAGAATGTCTCATCCAGTTTTTTATTTGATGACATAGGAACAAATGACTGTCCAGTTGTGAAATTCTCCCAAGGAATGAGTGGGAGAAAATAGGCAGATGATTACCGGAAAGGCAATTTTAAAAAAATTTGATATATATATATATATATATACATGTTGCCAATTCATATTACACATCTGTCGATCACAGTTATTTAGACGGCTTATTGCAGGATAATAAATAAATGTTGACGGGAAGCGAACTCAGGGACTGAATGTATTTTTTCCTCATCAAGTATCACACTGTGTGTATTTCAGTGGACTTACTTAAAAAGTTAGTTTAGCACTGATGATTCAAGTCAGTATGCCATGATATTTAAAAACTTGAAATTCGATAGACATAATATTAATCAAACATCCTACCCCCCATCTTAAATTCGTCTTTAAGAAGTTTGTTGATAAAATAGTTGAAAAATAATAATAATATGGACTAGTTTCACAAGTTTCATGTTGAAAAAAGCATCTCATGTGACTTTTATTTTACTCAAATAGATTTAACTTCTAGATGCTATGAAAACATGCATGCAAATCTTTTAGCACCAGTCAACCAAACCTTAATTTTATTTCCTTTACATTGTTCTGGGTGCAAAATTTATTCAGGACAACTAAACTATCCAAATTCGACTTACTTATACGTTCTTATTTAAGCTTATTGGTATTCGTAGAAATGCTAAGAAATAGCATCCTATTTAAGAAGGTATAAGAAATTCAAATTATAAAGGTATTTATTTCCCTTCGTTAGAAAAACGTTCGATATAGGATAGTTACAGAATGCAGAAAACTTTACACATTAGAAAGTAGAGCACAAGTCACATGGTTTTGAAATTGTAATACCGAAAAGAAACCAATTCATGTCTGATTCATCATCTTGCAGGTTTTTTTTCCAAGATGTCAGACGGTTATAATCAGAATCATTGGTGGGTGGATTGTGAGCCTAGTTTCATTGGGTAACTTTGCTAAGCACGCATAAAAATATGTAACATACGCTGAAAGTTAGTTGGTCACTATCTACACTAGTGTGTTATAAAATTTATGGGCTAAAATGTATCTCAGACGTTGTGACAAAATTTTAGCAACAAGGTGTTCGAACCATCAGGAACCATTTGAATGATATAACTGCAATCGGAGGTAAGGCATAATTATGTAGGGAAACCATTGGTAATCTGTATACTATTTAAGATTGCTGATTTCCTAATTTTAAATCACCTTATTTGTTAATAACCACTGTAATCAGTTGGGTACAGATGTGTCTAGCCGACGAGTCCTAAATAGGAAAAAACACGCTTCCCGGATTCTTCTGCTCTTCGCAACTGACTAATATTTAAGCATTCTCGAAACATCAGCATAAAAGTCCATATGCCAATAGAGTTTGAACAATTTTATCTAGTATGACAACGGAGAATTACAAGTATATCGACAAATAGTTGCAATCATCGTACTTTCTAGAGTGTATGCAGCTGATGAACATTCGCTAGATTAAACGGTGTCATTTCATTCTGCAACTCAAGCTCTTTTTGCTCTAAACAGCATAAATTTCACTTCTATAAAAATGACATTTAAATTATTCACAGATAAACATTCAGAGGGAGTATTTATGAGAAGCAGCAAAAATATTTTAGTATACACTGGTGACGTTCGTAGTATATAAATGAAACTACTTTGAAATGAGTTGCATAAAAAAATACTCTCTCAGAAGATTTGTAATGAACAAAACATTTAAAGTCCCAGTTTGTTACTTGTTAATTTCCACATTTCAACAAAACGTCTTCTAGTGCATATTACTTCGAAAGTCTTGTGAATATAAGAGTAAAACTTCAGTGTTGTGTTAGAATTTAATTTCACTTCAGTCTGTCGAGTAGACGAGTTACACAGTGAAACAGTGTTATTCATTGTTTGATGTTTTAGATGCAATATACTTTTTACGGAAGTATCACGGTAACTCCATAGCTCTAAAACTGACATATATATATATATATGGTTTTGATTCTGTCTCTAACTTTGCAATATATGCGAAAGATCTAGGTAGTTTGATCTGGATTATGTACTGGGTCATTCATCACACCTGTATTCCCTGTTGGTTCGATAAAGATGGATACATTTCTCAGTTTTTTTCATTCAGCTACGCTTTTTTAACTGTCACGTTATCCAATGCTATCGTGTGTAAATGCATAGAAGATCTAGTAAGCTTTTCATGAATTATTGATTGTATATTATTCCATTGGAGTTACTTCGCCAAGACAAGAAAAAGTGAAAAGACGCTTTTCAAATGCCATATTTTGGACGGTAACTGAGAATGGGTTTTTATTGGGCAAAGTTTGTAAAACATTAGAAACGTTCAAGAAAATAGTACCAGAGGTACGTTTGCGAATAAATAAAAAACTTGATTTTATTACGAAGTTATACGAGTGGTTACTTCCTATTGTAGTTTTGCAACTACTTTGTTGGAAGAAGAAAGCGCACATAGTATCTTCAAAAACGGTGTTTTCAGAATAAAATCTATTTTGATAAGAAAACCATATTTTCATCCACAAGCATGCTTTTCCTAATATATGGTCCAGTATGAAACGTTTGTTTAAATTTACCTCAAGTTTAGTGGAATAAACCTACACAAATCTCATGATTGTAGGCTGAATAACATACTATCACAAAAGGAAGCAAAGTTGGTTTTGTTGAAAGAAAATTATCACGAAACGCAGTGACTAAAGAATAGTAGATTCTATCTATTCCTCTCTATTGTTAAGTTGTATTGCTTAAGTCGAATATTTCAACAAACTTTAACTGAGATATCGGTTTTGAATTATACAAAAAGCAACCGAACTAACTTCATTCCTTGCTACTCTCTATTATAATTACTTTTTATTTATTCAATTTAAATCGTTAGGCAATATAAAGTGTTAAGAAATTAGCTGCATTCTATGGTTTTGAAAACAATATTATTTTTCTTACTTAGATTAGGTAAATTTTCGTAGATTATTTATTATTATTTTGACAGTGTGTACGGTTTTCTTGAGATTTGCACCATCATGACAAACACATTAACCTTCTAGAAGAATTATATGGAAAATAATTAACTAATTGGTAGTTATGAGTATGAAACAGGTTTGAAAGGGAACATGCACAAACTCATTCATCAGTGATATGAATAATTTTGTATTTAGCAGTGGAGTTTGAATAACAAGATTGTAGAGAATGTTTTGAAAAAGTAAGAGAAACAGTGGAAGCAAGATGAGAGGGATTGTCTTTTTCGATGGTATCTTGTCAGCTGCTTCCAACCTGGAATATTAAAATGTATACTTTGAGTGAAAATTTAACATACTTTAATTCGTTGTAAGAGAACATATTCCAAAAAGCCTTAGACTGAACAGAAGCAACAGTTTGAACAGTGCAATCACTCGGCACTTGACACTGGATATCAAGTAAACGCCTTAAATTCCTTCAAGTTTGTCGACAGGCAAACGAGCTCAATTCTACTAATATCTATTGGAAGTCAAAGTCGTTAGATGACTCAAACCTGATTTAGTTGTCCTGAAATAGGCTATAGTCAACCTCTGCTTACTTTAGCAACTATTTTTGGTAGTTGTTTCATTAAGTCTTACTTTATCATCTTAGATGTTTGTTTCCTAACTCTTACTTCGTTGCATCATCTTATGGTCATATCAGATGTTCTGAACTAACTGAGCCCAACTCATAATATTTTGCTTACTTTTCACATGACTTATTTACCCATTCTTATAATCCTAAGCCTCTCAATACTTTGATTGTTATCATTCCATTGGAAAAATTTTCGGTAGATTACAGTTATAATAAAGGCAATCTAATAACTCCTCCTTGTCGTTTTGTATGGCCTTTATTCAATGACTGTTCCTATGCGTCTCGATCTCTGAATGATATTCCATTCCTCTTTAAATAATTAAAATATGTCCATATTAATGATGATTGGTAGCTAGCAGTGGAGTCCAATACGCGTGTTTCATCCCAATTGAGCCTCATCAGCCGGATAAATCTGTCACTCATTGAGCAGTGTTGTTCCCAATGAGACACTAATGTGGGACCGATCACTTCAAACACCAAGGCGTTATCCGCTAGCCTACCGAGTCACCATAGACACTTCTCGTGCGATGAGTATAGTTTATATGGTGTTGTGACATCCTACTAAGTATGCTAAATTTTCGGTAGACCAATATATTTTGATATTCTAAGTTGCAAGCTGTTTGATACGACCAAAATAAAAAGGATCCGTTTTATCCTGCTCTTAATCCTGTCCCTACTCTTTTGAAATTCATAGCGGGAAATTCCATAAGAGAAAGAATATTCGTCGATAGTGTTGGTGCCTTGAATATATATATATATATATATGTATTTACGTATGCACATTCCGAAAATTAGATCACCTATATGAACACGCAGCTTGAGACTTAAGGAAGACTATGAAAAGCATATTTACTGAACATAAATTCAACACTTTTATCTTTAAACTCAGTCAGAATTGCATCCATTAGTCTTTGTCATATCACATGGTTCGTTCATATACGAACTAACCAGAAGAAAAAGAGATAATACCATCATGAGGTCATTTCTCTCCTATCTGTAATAGACAAACATAGAACGAAATGACCGGGAAATTACTTTATGAAACACCTTGAATATGAAACTCAAATAGTTTGAATTAAGAAGGGTGAGTGCCATCCACTTGAAAACGCTGAAAGTGTCACTTCGCAATTCTTACTATGTATTGCATGCATCTTTTTATTTAATTCAATGAAACCCAGTAAAGATATTATGTGTAAAGCACAAAGAGAAAAAGGCATAAAATGCCTTCTTTTTACTTACCTGTAATTGCCAAATTGATAATAAATATTTTCATTTGAGTTTTAATTTTTCTTGAGAATATCACACCCAGAACAGTAAGGTTGCCAGCGATTATAGTAAAGAATAGAACCAATAAAATAATCAATCCAACTTTTTGTAGCTGTAAAGAGAAAAAGAAAGTTTACTGAAAAACGAATTGCATATAAATACGTATAAAAAAACAGATTAGTAGAAAATTAATCATCTTAACTGAGACTAGGAGAATTATCTAAATATACGAGATGAAAATGATGAATTTTATTGTAACTGTACCTATTTTTTCTACTAGTCAGACATGTACATGTTAGCATAAAGACAAACTGTGATGAATAATGAAAAAGTTTTAATAACTGTCTAGTTATTCAAAATCTCCCAGCGATAAGTTCCTCAGAGACAGTTTCTAGTTTCAATGTCCTAAACATGCATCCCACAGAAGGAAAATATACCCCTGCTTTTACAAATTTTGGCAAAAAATCCTACTTTCATCTCACAAATTATTTTATTCCTATTCAATTTATCGTTGTTTACTGCTCTATATGCAGTAGTGCATAATCTATTATGTAAGTTAAAAAATAATCCAAATTAGACATGAAATATCAATAGTCAAACTTATAAATAATAATGACTGAATAGAGTGAAACATTTGGCCTCTGAACTGATAACAATCTGTTAAAAGTTGAGTGGAACGAAAGATTTGTCAAAGTAGAAAAATGTGACCAGTAAGCTGATCATTTAACAAATACAACCTTATTTACGAAACCATATAATATCATGTAGTAAAACGTAGTGATTGAATTTAATGCATTTTATCTACCTTGCTGAAATATTGTAGCAAAAACATTATTCTCAGTATAGTTGTACACTCATGATAAAGGATTAAAAATTCAAATATTGTACGTCTAAAACTTAATGCTTACGCCATGAACTTCGTCTATTTTTACTATGCTAAGAGTGATATATAAAGCGTTTTTGTAATCATTCTCTTTTTATGTCATATATCTAATGAGTGAAAAAAAAACATTTTATTTCTTTGAAATATAGTTTTTGCTGGTATCCATTCAACTGAGAAGCATTGATATCATTTTTGAAATCATTCTCAAGTTAGCAAATCACCTAATACCATAAAGCGTTCATTTCAATCTTACTGAGACAATATCATGGGTTACTTGTTTGTATCACACATAAAAGCAGATTTATTTAACTTAATCAAAAGTATTTCTCACTTTTTATTACATTAGAGCTGACTTATATGTCAGTAGGTATAGAGTGGTTGGTTTAGTAGTATGTTTCCTTTTTCATCTAAGTGTTATACCTGCTCATCAGTGTCGCAACAAAATAGTAATTAACAGATTCCAAAAATGTAAGATACACAACTACTGAGTAAAATTATCTAGTAATTTCGGATTTATATGAAGGAGTTCTATTCAAACCAAGTCATACCACTAGATCGGAATCTAATTGTCCAAATTTTCCACTTCTGTCAGTTCACGATAAAGTGTGACCTCCATCTGATGCCGTCGTTGATTAACACTCCTCATGCTTCGATTGGTTGGCCACACCGGTCACGTTAAGTCGAGAACTGACAATAGTGGGAAATATGACCCATTGAATTATGACCCAACAGCTCAAAAGCGATGTGCTGGCAGTAGAAGCTGAAAGTTCTGGGAGCTCGTGGGTGCATACCGCTGAGAATTCTCATACTAGGGTGAAACAGCTGTCCAGTGCTCTCAGGTTTCTAACGTTTCTCCAAACATTGCTAGTCCAGGAGGAATACCAGTTTGAAATCGATTAATGAATCCCCACGAACTACCAAAAGGTATATGAACTATATCAAACAAATACAGGTATGTACAAACTGATTTGAATGAAGATAACAGTCAGTCAGATTTTCACATCTCTTCCTTCGTTTTTCTATACTTTTCGACGCATTTTTGTATTTTGTCATGCAGTCGCTTTACTGCTAGTGAAAAGTGACAACTAAGTATGCGGTGTGGTATATAGAAGTATTTGCAAACAAACGCATAACATGAAGGTTTTCGGCATTTTCCTGTGGAACGGATTCATCAAATTATGACTTCCTGACTCAAAGGTGCCTCCATTTCGTGGTAATCTCCCCCTGTTTATGATGATTTAATGAGGGTAAACTAATTCCAAGACGGTGTTATTACTTGTATTACACTGTCGTTAATTGGACGGAATTCATCAGTCTCAGTTGGCATATGGGGACCTGTGTGGATGCTTCGATATTGCCCATTTTCTTAACTGTATGAAGGTTGAGTGTTTTTCTATTGTTGCATAATAGTTTATTGTTTATGACTGAACAATCATCAAAAATCAGTGTTTACTCAACAATAACCTGCTTCATATCCTGCTACCCATCACTAATATGTAGTTAAGGGCACAGGCAATATCGAGGTATCCGCACAGAAGCCCATAAGACAATAGAGACTGATCAATTAAGTCCAGTCAACGACGGTGTAATTCAGGCAATAACACTAAAACCATACCCGTCTCACAAGAAGTGGCTATCGTGGTTCGGCGGTGTAGTGTAAAACACTCTGGTGTTTGAAGCGATCGCTCCCGAGTTGGAATCCCGGTGGGAACAACATCACTCGCTGGAAGTCAAGTACATCTAGCTGACGAGTCTCAAATAGGACGAAATGTGCATCCTGGATTCCACTGCTAGCCACTAACCATCCTTGCTATAATTTCAAGACAGTTTATGTTGCATACTGCCATAAGTCGTAGAATTACTATAAGCATGGGAAGTACGTTGCCTATTTTTTTCCCTGTTAGCTGATCTTTTATTACCTCCCACTGTAAATTGGAGGCCGGATGTAGGCAAAGCAAATGACTAACGAGGCTTAGGATTTCGAGTGGTAGTTAAACTGTAATTTTTTAAGTTTGCTACAAGTAATATTCTACCTAGGAGTAAAAAAAAGTCATTCAATGAGAATTTAAAGCGTTTAATGTCATGAGGAATTTTCTAGTCTAGATTACCCTTTGACTGTTTTTTGTTGTGAATCATCAAGTACACTGTAAATGAGATTTCTGGTAATTGTTGAAGTCAGTAACATATCCCCAGAAGGATCATTGTTGCATTATAATAAAAGTCAAGGTAGTTCACGAAATACAGCCTATGGAAAATCAGCTGACTCGAAAAGGTTTCTCTAATATAGGTTGTAACATCTTGTATTTTTAAAATCAGTTTTATTGGTGTGTTTAGTTACTGTAGCTACAAAGTTCACTATCGAATCAAAAAAACGCAAGGAAGGAAGAAAAATGTATAAAGAAGACGTGACTGTTTAACTACTGTCGTTCAGAGTTTAGTTGGGAATTCTCAAGATTACTGAGAAGCAAAGAAGTAACAGCATTAGCTATATAAGTGACAGCACATCGAAGTCAAATAATGGCTTTTACTACGTGAAAAAATAGAGGAAACAAAATAAGGGACTACTTCGGAGCTAAAATCCCATATGCTAGCTCAACTATAAATTTTGTCAGCTCAAAGTCCTAATGATGCAAAGAGGCGAAATAATTTTATTTGCTGAATACCACGTTTACGCTACGTGTGAGGCCTATGTACTGTCCAAACTAGTAGATCGGAGTCAGGTAGACGACTGAAGCTTAAGAATTTATGTTAAACTAATATACCCAATAAAATCACTAGTCCGGAAAAACTCGGCTTTTGAGATGTACTGAATGAAACACAAACATAAAATGTAGTGGAGTTAATTTAAATTGATTTGGAGAGAGATTGATCACCAACTTATTGTTCAAAGAACCCCCACCAAACAAACGTAGTAAAAATAGTGTAACATTTTTACCACCAAAAGCTAAGAGTACGAGTTGACAAGACCATTAAAATCATAAAGAACTTTGATATGATTATCAATAGTAATTTGTGCTCAAAATGGTAGCCATTAAAAAATACTATAACGTTGGATATGATATCAAATAATAATAAAAATAATACGCTTCACCGTTACACACCAGGGACCCAGTCCTTACTGAAAACAACAGTATACTATTTTTAAATGAGTTCAGAAGTAAATAAAAACTGTGAATCACGATTGCAACAAGCATTATTTTGTCCCTCTAAAAATGCATCCAGATACAACGTATGCAAAATTATGTAATCTCTGACAACTGCTGGATTTCAATAAAAGATCAGATCAGATTTCATTCTTTTCCGTAATTTTTTCATTGGAATCTAAAAAATTAACTTTTAAAAAAGAAAGCCTTTGTCTTTGATTTCTTGTTTGGAAACGAGTTTTCTAGTTTTGAATTATGTTTTTGTCCCAGACTAGATTTTCTTACAGTACAGGTTTGAGGCAAAACGTCATTATATGATTCATTTGTTTGAAGTCGTCTACAGGGGAGAATGAAAATTGTGGTGAACAGTACATTAAAACGTTGGCATAATTATTAAAATTACAGCATTTCTATGTTGCGTTGAAACGCTTACATTTAAAAGTAACAGTGGATAACTTGCATATTAGATTTGTTTATTTGATATGGAATTACATTCAACTACAGTACCCAGGTTTTACACTTATATAAGTGGATAAATCAATTTGATCGGTCACTGAACAATAAGCGATTTAATATTTGTGTACTCATGTACGACAACTGAATTTTAGCAATCGTTCTACGATGTCATCTTCAAGCTAGAAGAGGTAACATCACAAAGCACTCGGATGAATGCTAATCGGTAAGAGGCTATCTATAAAAGGATCCTCTTGACAATTATAGGTTAAAGGCTTGTTGGAACTTGTCGTAAAAGTAGTTTCATTATCTTATAAGAACTGATATCTTCTTATAGACTAAAATATTTGTCAGTCAGTGCCGCAGTCCTAGATTAAACTCGAGTAGCTTAATGGTAACTAGTTGAAGAACTCTAAATCTACTTTTTCATTAATTCGTGGATATCAGTTTTGAAGATATCTTTCATCAAAATAGACATCTAAGTAAAACACTGAAATCAATGTCACTGGTTCACTAATAATGGTGAACAAAGTTTCGGTTTCATGGACTTTCTTCAGGTGGAAGTTTGTATATAGATTTACATCTCCAACTTATTAATCTGGATGTTAAATCTCAGGAGCTGCTTCCCAGTTT